CCCCCCCCCCCCCCCCCACCTCCAAAAATCCCTCCTCTCCATGGGGAGTCAGTATATCTGTGATGGCAGGGCTAGACTACTCTTCAGGACATTCCACTCCTTTCCCTACCTCCCAATTCATGCAGCAACCCCTGCATCCATTCTGGTTTGTAAAGTGCAGCCTGCAGCGTTTGATTGTTTGAAACATTTAATAAAATGTTTAAGAACAAATTAATGAATTGTCTTTTGTGTCTGTTTGCACTTTACACGGTGCTGCCTTAAAGCCCAGTGCTGCCTGAAGCAGTTCATCTGGGCTTGTATCTCAAACACCTTGACAGTTGTGATGCTACAGATGCTCAGTCTCTGAGGCCTGATGCCAGCCTCTGGAGAGGTCTTGCCCCTGGCTTCTCAGATAGTGTAGGCCAGTATGATCATCTAGGATAGGTACCGTTCACTAGTGTCTAGGTGCATCCGCCAGGGCCCTCTACTATGGCATGAAACGCCCAAAGATGCAGCCCACGGTTGTCTGGTAGTTGAAGATCCTCATAGCCGAGTGTCTGGTAAAGGGCCGTGGGAGCCTGAACTCACTCCTAAGCTGTGGGAGCAGTGGGTAGGCCTGGGGGTAGATAGTTGTCCCTTCCAACTCTATGCTGAGTGCTGTAGGCAAATATTCCCTATATCTGCTGTACATTCTTGGTGACTCTGATGTCATGGACCTTGCTTGGTGATCATGTGGGTGAACCACCCCCAATCATCTGTAATGCCATGCAGCATGATAAACACACCTTGCTGTTGGTGTCCTTGAAGTTGTGCACTTATATGCAAACGTGGGTGCTATCAGTGGCCTCAGTGCTGTTCAGAAAGCCTATCTAGGTATCAAATTCAGTTATGATCTCTTGTGTGTTTGGTCAGGCAGAAGTGTTGTTCCAGTGCCTTCTGGATGGCATAATATACCTCCTGGACAGCTGTTTGAGCTGTGGACTTGACTTTTCAAAAGTGTAAGGCAGCAGACTGGAGGCTGTGGGGGGGAGGAGGGGTGCCAGTTTCCAGAAATCACTTGCTACCCTTGTCTTACTGGTTTGTCTCAAGTGACAGGGCCAAAATGGTGCAGGTCTTAAGGAAAGTGACCCTGCTCACCATGAACTTACACCAGGTCCTCAGGGCTAGTTCCCGTTAATCGGTGATTGTCTCCTGAGCCCAAGAGTGGCAGTCTGTAGGTGGTACCAGAGAAGGCCACTGCCTCCATGGAGCTGGGTCTTCCTCCTCTGGCATGTAGCTCTTGGATGTGCTGAGCACGTAGCATAGCTTGAGGAGGAGGGTGAGGTGTATTTTGAGTGCCAAGGTCCTGGTGCTTTCATTTTCATGCAGAGGCACATTAGTTGGGAGGCATACTGGAGGAAAACAGAAAGCATCGCCCAGAAGGCAAAGACTCTGCCACGAGCAGAGCAAAGCCAATATCTCACAGTGCTGTTCTGTGAATGTGGCGGCAAAGATGCTGGGCCCCCGTGCCTTATTCCAGCTAGGAATACAGAATGTTTAAAACTGATCAGCCCAGCAATGGCAGGAAGTGCTAAGCAGAAACTTCAGGGTCAGATGGCCCTAAGGCTGTCCAGAGAAGTCTCTGGGTGCCCAAGACCAAGAGGCAGGCTGTGATACTTGCCCCTTAGCTGTGAGTCACAAAAGCATGGACTCCTGGACATTTTTGAAACACTTTAGTTGGGAGTGGCCTGTACATTTGGACTGTCAGTAGTCCAGATTAAGGAAAGCTTCAAATTAGGGCAGGATTTGAAGTGCTTCATATCTCATGTTGGTCAATATCTTTGGATGACTAGAGACCTGATCAAACTCTCAGTCAAAGGTTATTTAATTCTCTTAATGTTGTTAAAACCTTATTGATAGGCAAAGGTTTGTGCCCATAATTTGCACAAACAAAATTGGAAGCCAGTATGCGAGAAGTGGGGGAGGGGGGGTCATAACACACGCACAGATGCAGGTTCTGGCTTAGTAACAGGTAATGGTAACTGAGATGGTGTACACTTGACACTGCTGACAAACTGTCAGGAAGATAAGGGCTGTGATAACCGTGCATGAAAAGTTGGGACGTTGTAAATGTAAGAAGTAAAAGCCTGATAACTTGTAATTTTATAGAAAGGACAAGCCCTTCAGTGGGACTAGAGCTACTGCAATGAGTAAAGCAGGGTCATGTCCTTCAATTATCTGTTTGCAGTGAAAACCTGCAAAGTCCTATGCACAGACTTTACTTCACGTGCTCTAAATATCACCG